TGGATGTTTCTAGTCTACATCAATGACCTTATTTCGGAGCTAGACCAATTACAATGTGGACTAATTATTGGCACGAATCACATCCCGACAGTTCTACTTGCTGACGACACCACAGGCGTCAGTACTACTGTACATGGTCTCAATGTGGCTCTTAACAAGATCCACCAATATGCCTGCCGTTGGAGAATGACATACAACGCCAGTAAGAGCTGTGTCCTGTCCTTCACAAATTCTACAAAATATCTCAACAAACCCGTTTTCAGAATCGGGGATGTAAGACTGCCAATCAAGTCCAACACTGTGTATGCGGGATCCATCATGCATGCAGAGAAAACAAGAGAAAGGACAACTCGTGCATGTGCCAAGGCGAGAAGAGCAATAAACTCACTCCGAGATGTAGGATTACGAGCTGGTGGATTACACCCTGTGTCATCGTCCAATATCTGGCAAAGAGTTATCTTTCCTTCTTCATTCTACGCATGTGAGCTATGGAGCAATATCAGCAGCACTGAGATGAAGAAATGGAAATTGTCCAGCGCTACTTTGCTAGAAGAGTCCAGAACCTCCACAAGAGATCTCCTGCAGTTGCTACAGCTCAGGTACTAGGGCTATGGTCAATGCAAGGCAGAGTAGATAAATCAAAGCTCCTGTTTTGGGGCCGACTCTGTCGCTCAGCCAGTACCAGTATTGTGAAGCCTATCATCTATTTGACATTCGCGGAATATATGTCTAATGTGGTAAAAAGTACAAGATCGATTGCCCATGACCTCTTGAATGCAGCTCACAAATATGGATTTTCAGATATCGTTGACACCTTCATGACAACAGGAGAATTTCCATGCAAAAGTGTATGGAATTCCATGGTACAGAAGGCTATATGCCACCACGAACACACTGAATGGAGAAATAAACTCCAAGAGCGTCCAAATATGCAGAGATTTGGTGCCATTCATACGCGCCTCTCTCCTCATCGTCTCTGGAACCTGTGTTTGTGGTATAACATGGCCACCCCACCTGTCTATGCTCTGATAAAGTTGGGTATACTGCCCGTCACACTTGGACTGTGTCTTATATGCGAGACTGAAAGTGAGGACATTGTAAAACATCAACTCCTATACTGTGACAAGCTGGTAGAAAACAGGAACGCACTGAGCGAGCATCTGTTTGATAACGTGTCTCTTGACACGTATATGAGACTCGAAGATGCTGAAGACGAGGTTAAAATCCTCACATACCTTGGTTCCATTACTCCGGTTGTGCAGGACATGACTCTCGATAGCTGGGCTAGGTTCATGAGCATTATTGCAAAACGCATCAGTGCATGGAACCTAGCCAGCATTCTGTATTTATAAGAATAGCATGCAATGCTTTGTACATATTGCCCAGTGATCATCTGTTGCCAAAAGCTATGTTTTCTTTTTATGTTCTGTTGAATTTTTCAAATATTATTGAACTTTCTATTTTGTCACAAATGTGTGTTATGCTCTAAAAATATATACATAACTGGATTATAACTCTCCAAACCATTGGTGGAAATAAAGAACATTCATTCATTCATTCATTCATTCATTCTCACTCTGTACATCAAGACAGACGGTGTTGACACCACAGACATGTCCAGTTATCATCACTATAATATACTCACACTGTACATCAACACTGATGGTGTTACAGTTGACACAACAGACATGTCCAGTTATCATCACTATAATATAATCACACTGTACATCCACACTGATGGTGTTGATACCACAGATATGTCCAGTTATCATTACTATAATATACTCACACTGTACATCCACACTGATGACGTTACTGTTGACACCACAGACATGTCCAGCTATCATCAGTATAATATACTCACACTGTACATCCACACAGATGGTGTTGACACCACAGACATGTCCAGTTATCATCAGTATAATATACTCACTCTGTATATCCACACTCGTGGTGTTGACATGACAGACATGTCCAGTTATCATCGCTATAATATACTAACACTGTACATCAAGACTGACGGTGTTGACACCACAGACATGTCCAGTTATCATCACTATAATATACTCACACTGTACATCCACACTGATGGTGTTACTGTTGACACTGCAAACATGTCCAGTTATCATCAGTATAATATACTCACACTGTACATCCACACTGACGACGTTACTGTTGACACCACAAACATGTCCAGTTATCATCACCATAATATACTCACACTGTACATCCACACGGAGGTGTTGACACCACAGACATGTCCAGTTATCATCTCTATCATATACTGACTCTGTATATCCACACTCGTGGTGTTACTGTAGACACCACACACATGTCCAGTCATCATCACTATAATATACTCAGGCTGTACATCCACAATGATGGTGTTGACATGACAGACATGTCCAGTTATCATCACTATAATATACTCACACTGTACATCCACACTGTTGGTGTTACTGCTGACACTGTAGACATGTCCAGTTATCATCAGTATAATATACTCACACTGTACATCCACACTGATGGTGTTACTGTTGACACCACAGAAATGTCCAGTTATCATCACTATAATATACTGACTCTGTATATCCACACTCGTGGTGCTACTGTTGACACCACACACGCACCACAGACATGTCCAGTGATCATCACTATAATATACTCACACCGTACATCCACACTGTTTGTGTTACTGTTGATACTACAGACATGTCCAGTTATCATCACTATAATATACTCACACTGTATATCCACACTGGTGGTGTTGATGCCACAGACATGTCCAGTTATCATCACTATAATATACTCACACTGTATATCCACACTGATGGTGTTGACACCACAGACATGTCCAGGTATCATCACTATAATATACTCACACTGTACATTCACACTGATGCTGTTGACACCACAGACATGTCCAGTTATCATCACTATAATATACTCACGCTGTACATCCACAATTATGGTGTTAATACCACAGACATGACCAGTTTAAATCACTATAGTATACTCACACTTTGCATCCACACTGATGGTGTTACTGTTGATACCACAGACATGTCCAGTTATCATCGCCATAATATACTCACACTGTACATCCACACTGATGGTGTTACTGTTGACACTGCATACATGTCCAGTTATCATCACTATAATATACTCACACCGTACATCCACACTCGTGGTGTTACTGTTGACACCACACACACACCACACACATGTCCAGTTATCACCACTATAATATACTCACACCGTTCATCCACACTGTTCGTGTTACTGTTGATACTGCAGACATGTCCAGTTATCATCACTATAATATACTGACACACAGACATGTGTACATCCACACTGACGCTGTACATCCACAATGATGGTGTTGATACCACAGACATGTCCAGTTATCATCACTATAATATACTCACACTGTACATCCACACTATAATATACTCACATGGATTCACATTGATGTGTTGACACCACAGACATGTCCAGTTATCATCATCACTATACTCATATACTCACACTGTACATAATACCACAGATGGTAAATTACTATAGTATGACACCCGTGGTGTTACTGTTGACACCACACACATGTCCAGTCATCTTCACTATAATATACTCACACTGTACATTCACACTGATGGTGTTGACATGACAGACATGTCCAGTTATCATCACTATAATATACTCACACTGTACATCCACACTGATGGTGTTTACACCACAGACATGTCCAGTTATCATCACTATAATATACTCACACTGTACATCCACACTGTTGGTGTTATTGTTGATACTGCAGACATGTCCAGTTATCATCACTATAATATACTCACACTGTACATCCACACTGATGGTGTTGACACGACAGACATGTCCAGTTATCATCACTATAATATACTCACTCTGTACATCCACACTGATGGTGTTACTGTTGATACCACAGACATGTCCAGTTATCATCACTATAATATACTCACACTGTACATCCACACTGATGGTGTTACTGTTGATACCGCAGACATGTCCAGTTATCATCACTATAATATACTCACACTGTACATCCACACTGATGGTGTTACTGTTGACACCACAGACATGTCCAGTTATCATCACTATAATATACTCACACTGTACATCCACACTGATGGTGTTGACACCACAGACATGTCCAGTTATCATCACTATAATATACTCACACTGTACATCCACACTGATGGTGTTACTGTTGACACCACAGACATGTCCAGTTATCATCACTATAATATACTCACACTGTACATCCCACTGCTGATGGTGTTGATACCACAGACATGTCCAGTTATCATCACTATAATATACTCACACTGTACATCCACACTGATGGTGTTGTTGACACCACAGACATGTCCAGTTATCATCACTATAATATACTCACACTGTACATCCACACTGATGGTGTTGACACCACAGACATGTCCAGTTATCATCACTATAATATACTCACACTGTACATCCACACTGATGGTGTTGATACCACAGACATGTCCAGTTATCATCACTATAATATACTCACACTGTACATCCACACTGATGGTGTTACTGTTGATACCACAGACATGTCCAGTTATCATCACTATAATATACTCACACTGTACATCCACACTGATGGTGTTGATACCACAGACATGTCCAGTTATCATCACTATAATATACTCACACTGTACATCCACACTGATGGTGTTACTGTTGATACCACAGACATGTCCAGTTATCATCACTATAATATACTCACACTGTACATCCACACTGACGTTGTTACTGTTGATACCACTGTACTGACATTTCCAGCTACCGCTATCATCTCTACTGACAGCTGTGATGTTTGTGTAGAATATCTTTGTCTGTCCAGTCACACATCCACATGAGTAGCCAGGAAGAGAATTGAACTGTGCACAGGTTCCAGAGTTGACAACACACATTATAAGTGATGCTGATGCTGAAGTTGTTGCCCTCATGAAGCTCAGTGGTCCTTGTAGAGGGCTGCCTCCACTCACGGTGCAGGTGGACTGGAAGCTGTCACCCAGTAGCACTGAGGATGAAGATCCTTGTAGTGACAGTGTTTGACCTGAAATATACATAGATAGATATAAGACATATATGTAACTGTACAGGTGGACTGATACAATCCTGTACTGAGGATGAAGATCCTTGTAGTGACAGTGTTTGACCTGAAATATACATAGATAGATATAAGACATATATGTAACTGTACAGGTGGACTGTCACAATCCTGTACTGAGGATGAAGATCCTTGTAGTGACAGTGTTTGACCTGAAATATACATAGATAGATATAAGACATATATGTAACTGTACAGGTGGACTGAAACAATCCTGTACTGAGGATGAAGATCCTTGTAGTGACAGTGTTTGACCTGAAATATACATAGATAGATATAAGACATATATGTAACTGTACAGGTGGACTGTCACAATCCTGTACTGAGGATGAAGATCCTTGTAGTGACAGTGTTTGACCTGAAATATACATAGATAGATATAAGACATATATGTAACTGTACAGGTGGACTGATACAATCCTGTACTGAGGATGAAGATCCTTGTAGTGACAGTGTTTGACCTGAAATATACATAGATAGATATAAGACATATATGTAACTGTACAGGTGGACTAATACAATCCTGTACTGAGGATGAAGATCCTTGTAGTGACACTGTCTGACCTGAAATATACATAGATAGATATAAGACATATATGTAACTGTACAGGTGGACTGGCACAATCCGGTACTGAGGATGAAGAATCGTGTAATGTTTGTCCTGAAATATAATTTGATAGATATAAGACATATATGTAACTGTACAGGTGGACTGTCACAATCCTGTACTGAGGATGAAGAACCTTGTAGTGACACAGTCTGACCTGAAATATACATAGATAGATGTAAGGTGTATATGTAACTGTACAGGTGGACTGTCACAATCCTGTACTGAGGATGAAGAACCTTGTAGTGACACAGTCTTACCTGTACAGGTGGACTGTCACTGACCTGAAAATATACATGAGATAGATAGATAGATGTAAAACATGTATATGTAACTGTACAGGTGGACTGTCACAATCCTGTACTGAGGATGAGGATGAAGAATACATAGATTGTAAGGTGTATATGTAACTGTACAGGTGGACTGTCACAATCCTGTACTGAGGATGAAGAACATTGAGGTGACACAGTCTGACCTGAAATATAAACTGATAGATGTAAGACTGCAATACACACTTAGACAGCTATATCAGATTAGACAAGACAATGTTTGAGTGTAGCGGCCACTGCCACAGAATTTAGCAGTTATATTTCTTAACGTTGATATTAACAGATACTGACAAAAGGAGGATGTAATTAAATTCTTCTTATAAAAATAAGCCTATTAGATATTAAAAAACTTATTTCTGCACATAACCTGGATGTAGGGAGAGATCATGTATTGCTTGAGTGTTTATTCTGCTTATAAATCAGCTTACTCAGCCCAGCTGAAATGAGCAAGCAAAGACCATGGTATACCATGGTAAACCATGGTAGACCATGGTTCAAAGACCATGGTTGACCATGGTGTATCATGGCTTACCACGTCCGGTAAATGGCACCACAGTTTACCATGGGCAAAAGAGACCATGGTCTACCATGGTGAAAAAAGGACCATGGTGTACCATGGTCAAAAGAGACCATGGTATACCATGGTCTACCATGGTAAAAAAAGACAATGGTCTATCATGGTTTAACCACGTGCGGTAAATGACACCACAGTTTACCATGGTAAGATAAGACCATGGTCTACCATGGTAAAAAGAGACCATTGTGTACCATGGTCAACCATGGTAAAAAGAGACCATGGTGTACCATGGATTACCACTGAAAAAAACTGAGACCATGGTCAGTATACCCTGTTCGGTAGATGGAACAACAGTTTACCATTAGAATACCATTATTTAGACTATGGTAAGAAACCAACCGCGCCATACCACAATATATACATTGTAGTCACATACACATGGTATAGAGATCAATTAGAATATTGGGTATTGAATAATTAACATTAAACAAATTCATGCACTGAAAACAAACTGTTCAAATTATAAAGACACATTTTATTGCTGACACTGACAGATTTAAATGAAAGACAACTTGAGGACAGTTGTTGGGAATCTCACAGGTATTGAGGGATATGCTGTGCAACAAGTACAAGTCTTAAGCAAACTAGAATTACATATCCAGTAATGCTGCTAGGGACAAATTGCATGTGGACATGTTCATCATTTTTCAGAGGATATTCTTATCTATTATTTTATTCTAAAAACATCTTTAGGGCAGCTTGGATGTCAGTCTATATCCAGTATTGAGTGAGTGAGTTTAGTTTTACACCACTTTTAGCAATGTTCTAGCAATATCACGGCGAGGGACACCAGAAAGGGGCTACACACATTGTACCCAAGTGAGGAATCGAACCCAAGTCTTCAGTGTGAAGAGCAAACGCTCCGGCTCAGGAATAAACTCATCTTGTAGAACTTTATCTTCAGTGTTTCAACATTAGGACCATTTCTTCAGAATCGTCCAGTTGAAATCTGAAAAACACACCCACATTTAATCACAATCATTCTATTTCAAACAGTCTTAAGCAAATATAAAAAAAATGTTGTTGTTGTTTTTTAAATATATATTTACAGTTGCTCAAAATGTTATGTATTTTTAACATATTGCAAACCTTTTTTCACCAGACTCAGATGACTTTAAAATATGTTTGTAATATGAAGAGTCTATGCCAAGTAACACAACATGTATTAGAAATTAAAACACAAATTTGGCTTATAAATCACCAGTCTACATTCATAACCAAATATAATATTCTGAAATGTTTACATTTCCCATTATTTATAATAATCAACATATCATAACATAGAAAAACGTATCTTACTGTAAGTGAACCTATTTCCGTGTTAAGTGAATAGCTAAACGTTTTGGCACAGTCATTTTTTCTTTGGTTTACAGTCAGTAGTTATTCCAAAACTGAATACAAATACGATAGAAAAGAAAATGAAATATCCATAAATGTGCCTGTAGCAATTATCTCCCTTTTTATGACCCTTTGAATTTATTTTGCTGTCTGTGTAATCTAAGCAAACAAACTGAATCTTTCAGGTTGACCTCTACAAGCCCAGTGAACTTTGACACCATTCGATCACTGATAACTTAACTAAAAAAAGTCATAACGGTTGTTGTTTTTTTTTAAAAGTACCGTTAGATATTGGTCGTGTGGTAACATACATATGTAGAACATATTGCACAAAACCCAAATTAACACTGACTTTCCGTTTGAGGGATGTACATTGTATATAAAATGAACACTGCTATATCTTATATCTCTTTCCGTCATTCTCCTCAAAAACTGTTGCTTACCACGTCACATACGTTCGTATGTGCGTATTTCCGAACATCAAAACAATTTCAATATATCTGCACTCAAAACAATTTCAATATTGCTGTTATTTACTTACCGCTCATGCTTATGTCCACTGGAATTCAACTTGAGATGTATCCATCGGCACTAAATCTAGTCTATTCCTTTATCATGAGTTCTTGACATATCCATCGCTGGATTATCCTCGAAATCCGTCATTGCTAATATATTAGGGATATTCTTCGCTTGGATCGTTGTAGTCTATGGCCAGTGTTGACAAAGTTGTGTTTTGCGCCTATCACTGGTTTTGCGCGCTCACAAATGTCTACGTGACAAGTAGCAGCTATGGCATCGGTCGTGCCTGGGAAACGGTCGCGTGTCTCCGTATCGTACTATCTCCATTCGGCTTGTCCCGGAATGGTGCGAGTTGGAAGTTGAAACATATTTTTTAGAAAAGAAAAATTAATTAGTACGACCAGGGATGTATTGTAACTATGTATGTAAAGGGCTGTATGATTAGTGCTGTCCGTTCTTGAAGTCGCAATAAGATTACGTAAGCACGAAGGGCGTGGTCGTGTTTGCAATCACGCGATCGAGGTACTTCATAACAACACTACGTAGTCAACAGTGGATAATTTCTCATCTTATTAACAAATAAAGGCAAGAATTACAATATCTAGGCATCAACATCAAAATTAGAATTCATAAACAGTAATATTGTCAACGACAGGAATCGCGAAAAAAGATATTCAGTGTACACGTTCCTTCGTCGATCATAAGGTGGAAGAATAGTTTTTTGCACATATCCCCGGCAATCATTTAAATTTCATTAAGCTACTTTGATCTAATCTCTTCCGGGTCATATTGCACGTGCTGAACAGGAAGTGACAGTGAAATGTGTTCTAAAATCGGGAGTTTCACCATTAACATTGCGAAAGATGTACTTATAACAAGTATGGGCACGTTTGCCGATCGTGATCACTCACGGGAGAAATTCAATGAAATGAGACGATTTTCACATTGTACTTCCAAATTTTATTTTATGGAGTAAATATGAAAAAGAAAGAGAATTAAAAATCTTCCAGTACTAATTGGTTACGCTGTTATTGACAGAAGGTAAGTTTTACGCAGAACTGTCTTGTTAGGCACAAAATATTGTTTCGCCTTCTGTCGTGCATTGTTTTTGTTGTTGCTGTATTTTTTTTTTAAAAAACAACAACTAAAGGCAACCAGGTACAAAAAACTAGTAAGACCACGAGAGACGGGGTTTACACAGTTTAATGGACAACTTTAGCAAAGGGGACGGGCAAAATTATTTTATTTTCAGATGTACGGAGGGTTAATTTTGTTTTGATTTTCAAGTGTATAAGACTTCCTTTGTTCCTTATTTGTTTGTGTGTTTCTGTAGCAACAATGAGAAAGTTAAATTACGTGAACTGTTCCCGTTGATAATTGTTTTTATGACATTGTGTTCTTGTATTTTTCATTAAAACACACTTCATTTTAACTTATCTCTCACCAAGTGATGTGTTTAATATTAGTTATTTAATGCACACAGACGTAAGAACAAGGATCTGTAAGGTATCTGTCATGAATATTCATTAAAGGCAAACTAACTCAGGAAAAACATGTTTCATCTGCCACTTAGATG